GAAAAAAAAAAAAGGAAACAATTAACATAATAAATACTTCCAGAAGAATGCTTTTGGTAACTTAATAAGTTCAATTTTTCCTATACTATACAATTTTTTTTTTTAATTTGTTTTCATATTCTTATTTTCACTATCAAAAGATTGAAACTTGAGTCATTTGATAGGTTTTTTTTTTCCCCAAATAGTGATTTTTCACACCCTAAAATTGCAATTTAAAGAAAAATATTTGTCCCCCTTTTTGAATGGGGTAGTTTATTTTTTTATTAATAAAAAAATAATAAGTGGACAAAAAACAAAACAAAAAGGGGGGAGTGGACCAACATAGAAAACACGTATTTAGTGAATACGTTTTTTGTGTAATTTAATTAGAAAACGTATTCCTTAAATACGTTTTTTACATTTTTTTTACAAAAGAAACCGTATTCACAGAATACGTTTTACAAATAAAAAATTTAAAAACCGTATTCACTGAATACGGCTTTTTTATTCTTGTCCACCCCTTTTTTCTTTCTTTTTTTTTTTGTCCAGCACTTTTTTGTTTTTTTTCTTTTCGTAAAAGAATCTTTTTGAATGGCATTACCTTTTCGCAAGTTTCGTCATCATCTTTTTGTTTAATTTCTGCATCTGATTCTTCTTCATCAAATACCTGAAAATAACAACATTTCACCATAAGTTTTGTAAAGATTATGAATAAACTTATTTATGTAGGTACATTTTCATATAACATTGTACACTGATTCTTATTAGTGAACAGTTTGATATATAAACAAATGATTTATCATTTAACAAATTATTGATTAAATTTTGGGACTAAGAAACATATAAACCAAAATAAATAAAAGGGTTGGAATGAAAATATTATGCCAAAAAAACTTACATCATCAAGCACCAATAGTGGAACACGTAGTTCCTTTGCAACTGTTCTTACTAATATGTCTTTGAATATATTCGTACCTTCAAAATGAGCAGTAATTTTTATTTAACTATAGCATCAATAATTTTTTTTAACAAATATACCTAATGTTACAATAAAATAAATAAAATTATAACATTATTTCATGTTATTAGATGTTAGGAAATATGTTGGCCAGCACAGTGCACAGCTGTAAAACGTTTGATATCTCTTTTTTTAGGGAACTTTGATACTATTATTTTTTAGGAAAATAAAATCAAGAGCAAAATCAGCATTTATTTAGTTATTAATGAAACAATTACCTGGAAAACTACGAAGCGAAATTCTCCCACTTGAAGAGACCAATGGGCTGCACTTGTTTCTCTTCAAACGTGCCACCACACATTCTATAAGCACGTTTTTATCATGTTCACTGCAAAAGAAAAAAATGAAAAACAAAAANGTAACCCAATCAAAACTAAATAAATTTGTTTTATAATAAACTTACTTAATGTAATAAGGAAAATTTTCCCACGAGTAATTAACTAAATCCTCTGGTGCAACAATCTTTTCCAGCAACTTGTCTCTAAATTGCATCTTTATTATTTCGGCCATCTTCTTTAAGTTTGCTTGTCTCGCTCACGCACGATCTTTTGAAGTGCAAAAGGCTCGTCAGATTCTATATAGCCAAATTTCAAAGCTAAATATAGAATATAAATACAAATTAAAAGGGAAAAAACACTAAATATAATATTTCTTTAGTTTCTTTCCTTTTTTATTTTCCTTGGAGAGCACTCATATATGGAGGGTTGTTGGGGAAAAAAATCCAAATTTAACAAAACTAGCCAAATTCAATGGGATATATCCAACTGAAAATCTAAATTCATCTATCACATATTTACACGAGAATATCTGCCCTTGTAGTGCACGCAACGTAATACTAATATAGCATATTTGAATTTGGGCTAAACGAATCAATTTGGGGTAAACGAATAATAGAAGTATAATACACAACAAATGTTATTTAGTATTCTAATTATTAATAGGAAAAAGCTATTTGTACAACTTTTTTGTACAACATTAACTGACAATGTGATGTCGCATGATGTAGGTGGTTGAGATGCAAATAAATGTATGGTTGAGATTTGAGTTAACGATACTTTTAACTAAGTTGTCAACCAATATTGTAAACTACAATTGTACATGTAGCATTGTCCTAAATAAAACCTAATAAATTTTATCTATGTGTCATTTTCACTCCGATAATCATTACAATCCAAAATTATTATTATTTTACGTATACATGTACGATTTATGGTATAAAGCGTGCGATTTTATTTCGTATAAAATGTCTGAATTTGAAATGATATGAAATTTATTTGGTATGAACAGAAGTGTATTTGAAAATTTTGAAAAAAAAAAATAAGTAGTATAAATTTTATTTGGTATGGGTATGAGAGTCGAATTTTAAGATGATTTTTTATGAAATCATGATGATATGATTCTCAAATTTTAGTATATTTCCATAAACTTGTCATAAGATATTGATGATAATTCGATAAATTGGAATATATTCCTCATGAAAATCAGAAAAAAAAATAAAAAATAAAAAATAAAAATTGAACAATTATTGGTTACTAAATTAAAATTTGTAATTTAATTTCAGATAATTAGTTAGTAAATTTGAACGATAAGGTAAACGACAACAAATCTAGAAATTGCGAGATAATATTTATATATATATATATATATATATATATTTATTTATATGTAAAATATATAAGAGAATTTACTGTATAGTCTAAATTTGAGTTTCAAATTTAAAAGTCAAATAAGTAATTATTCATAACTCACGAGTCAATATTAAGTTGGACATAAATGGAATAGTCAATTATTTATAAGTAAATGAATTAATCAATTACTTAAATTTTTTTATTTGAATAGGTGATACGAAATTAAATGCATTTTGATTAACGAAACAATATAAGTTTTATAATTATACTTATTATTCACATAGATGTTTAAATATATGATAAAACCTTACCAAAATAATTATTTTATAAAATCATATCGTAGTCAAATCAAATTTCTGAATAAAAATTTTAAAATGACACTTATTTTTAAATGAATATAATGTAATTTATTATCACTTACGTGCACCATACGAGTTGTATACTAATTTTAAATAAACATGTTTTATGTAATTCTACATATTTAAATTCCATATAACATTTTCAATAAATTAATATAGGTAAACTGTATTAAATATTTGTTCCATACGTTTAATATATAAATATTATTTAATGAGTATTTGTAATGTATAAATATTAATGAATATCTCTTACCCGTGCATCGCACGATATTCGTACTAATAAGAAAGAAAAAACACAAAATCCCAACACTTCTATGTAGAGAAGGAAGTTAACTTAAAACTCAAATAGTCAAAAACGAAATTTAACTAAGCCAAATGAAGCGCAAATTTGAATCCTCAACTGGAGGTCAGTGAATTCTTCGATTTTCTCCTGCTTCCTCCTTCACCGAATCGCTCGTTCCATTCTCGCAGCTCGACCAAACTGCTCGACTCATACGCAACTGAGGGCCCCACCTGCAAAATTATTCATACAGTAAATTAGAGAATAAACAAATGTTATGCCCATGTACTTATTGATCAGTATTTACTCTACTTTTATTTTCAAGTACAAAACATAAACCGACTGTTGTTCCAAAGTAATCAATAATTGGTTATAGAAACAAATAGTTTGTGGTATAAAGTGTGTAAAGAGCTTAAATTTTAGGCTCATATAGCTTTGTCCCAACCTAACAGATACAAATCTATGCATGCAGAGACCTTTTTGACGCTTTCTATAGTTTCAAATGAATTTACATACCGTGGCCATGGAATTAATAAAGTCTTCGAGCTTCAGAGGTCTTAATGCTGGATCTCCTTCTTTCTTGTCACCCTGTCGATCGATAATAACCACAAAATATGATACAGTTGTAATTGAGGACAAAATGCTAATTTGTGTTTTTTTGTTTTACGCATGCATAGTTGTTACTTATTACACATGTTTGTTTGTTGAAAGATCATATATAACAATAATAAAAACAGCTCTATCGATATAATATATATGCCATCAAGCAACAAAAGACAAAAGTCGAATACTCCATAATTTCAACCTTAATATATCATCCATTAACAGAAAAATCTTAAAAGTACTAGAATAGTCATAATAAGATCAGTATAGTGTTTACTTTGCTTTCTTGTTCAAGTCGTTCTTGGACAGGCATATATGCAGCAGCCACACACAGATTCTGGGAAAAATTAAAAGACAAAGAATCACAAATCTTAGACACAGTAGGAATCACAATATCTATAGCCATTAATGCAAACTCGATGCACATTTACCTTTAAGTCACTCCCGGAATACCCTTCAGTAGCGTCTGCGAGTTTTTTAATATCAAACCCAGATTCCAGAGCCTCTTTGGCAACAAGTATCTCCAGTATTTTCAATCTATTTTTCACATCTGGTAGATCAACATGAATCCTACGAGCAATCAAGGATATTCGTCAGGCTCAACATTCATGTCAATAAATTAAAAAACAAAATTGCAAAAGAGAAAAAATCAACCACGTTTCAAATGTCATATATGATGATCCACCGACATTCTTCAAGAGTAGGGCTTGTAAGTAAACTGGCCAGGCCAGTTTTCTATTCAATAGGTAATCATATTCTGGGAAATCCCTTTTCTAACATTCGGTTATCTACTTTATATTATAACAAGAATCTGTGTACAATGTTATATGAAAATGTACCTACATAAATAAGTTTCTTCATAATCTTTACAACACTTACGGTGAAATATTGTTACTTTCAGGTCTTTGATCAAGAATAATCAGATGCAGAAATTAAACAAAAAGATGAACGAAACTAGCACGAAGGTAATGCCATTCAAAAAGGGGGACAGATATTTTTCTTTAAATTGCAATTTTAGAGTGTAAAAAATCACTATTTATGGAAAAAAGCCTGTCAAATGACTCAAGTTTCAATCTTTTGATAGTGAAAATAAGAATATGAAAACAAATTAAAACGAAAAAGATGTTTGTGGAAAATTGTTTTGGTTCCACTCATTGAATTTCCTTTAGGAACTTGATTATAATTAACTGATTAGTTACTCTGATGCATTCCTTTTATCCAATGCACTATTCATTACCTCCACGTAAAGAGGAATTCTTTCAACAATAGGACTAGAGTTAAGTGTAGAAGGAAAACTTCCTAACATTCCATTTTTAATAACACCAAATATCTGCTATTTCATATTCTTCATAAATCATAGCTAATAAAATTCATTATCCAAGGAATTCCAACCCAGGGCTTCTTGAAACAAATCAAACACACACAAACACAAACACACAATGTGTCGCATTTATGAAAATACATGCACCCTTCTTGCATAAACAACAAAATGTACGAATATTTTGACTCATACTAGAAAATGTACCTTCTTGGCATGCGGCGAATGACAGCATCATCAAGGTCAAAGGGCCTATTTGAAGCACCAAGGACAAGGATTCTTTGGCTGTCATTTGAAGTTAATCCATCCCAAGCTGACATAAACTCATTCCGTAGTCTTCTGGTAGCCTCATGCTCATAAAGTTGACCACGAGCACCAAGCAAAGCATCAATCTGTCCACAAAAGCATCAAATACAGGTTTTATATAATCTATCAGATTGTAATCCATGCATCACGGAAGTGACTGCAAATTTATTAATCAAATAAAAATGTTCACAAGTGTGAATATATGGAGGAGTCCTTGCCAGCTCAGTGAAGTAGCAAACTACTGCACAAGTCTAGTTCAATCAATCAATCAACAAGCTTTTAAAATCCCACTAAGAGGGGGGTCGGCTATATGGATCACATGTCACCATCGTGCTCGATCAAAGCACATATCCTCATTCAAATTTAAATATTTTAAATCATTTTTTATTGTCTCATTCCATAAATCCACATAAAAGTTCAAATCAGCAGGAGAGAGAGAGAGAGAGAGAGAGAGAGAGAGAGAGAAGTACACAGTGTATGGTTTGTGTGTCAAATACTCATTTGGTTCAGGAATACAATGCAAGTATGCAACAGCACTCACCTCATCCACAAAAATAATTGTAGGAGCCAACTTGACAGCCAAGGAGAATAGTGCCCTCACAAGTTGTTCTTCTTCCCCGTACCACTGCAGCAAAAGCAAAAAAGTAAAAAACTGACTATGTTGGATAAGTCAAGTAAAGGATAGAATTGTTCCAAGGCAATTACTTGTTTGCTTCTCCTACCATAGATGTAAGGGATGAAGGAGTAACATTGATGAAATGGGCCCCAGCTTCGGTAGCCAGAGCCTTTGCTATAAGAGTTTTTCCAGTTCCAGGGGGACCAAAAAGCAGCATACCTTTGCAAGGCTGAAAGAAAATATTGTGAGCTTTACATTCAACAAGGTTTCATTTTACATTAAGAACAAGAATAATTTAAAAAAGTACAAGTATCTTTTAATTTTTAGAAGTACATACACCTGTCATATTCTTTAAACTGAATGTACCAGTTTGAGGGTGGTAATTTATAATTGTTACAAAATTACCAACCACGAGAGTTTTGTAAGACCTTAAGTGGGTAATAAAGACTTGCAACTTGTTTAGTAATCAGCCTACACTTCCAATGTTGATTTTGTAGTTGAACACTTGATACTAACCCGAAGCAAGTTTCCACGGGAGAAAAGCTCAGGCCTGTTCAATGGAAGAATGACAAGTTCATTCAACGCCTTTTTCACTACGTCAAGGGCACCAACATCATCAAACTTGACACCAATATCATTTGGAGAAATTATAGATGGAACAAAGCTTTTCTCATACTCCCCACGGGCAAGCTCCTGCAGTATGTTTTTTTAATAAGGACATGGATAAAACTTTTGGAAATTTGACCAGTACGTGTTCACATAATGATAGGAGAATAGATAACCTTAGGAGACTTTGAAAACTTGTTTTCGGATTCCTTCAATCTCAAAATGGCATGTTCAAGGCTGCACACAATGACAATTGACACCTCAAACAAGATATTAAAAACCTCGATTTAATAGTAAAAGTCAAGAAAAGACAGATAATTAACCTTGATCTAGGCATATGCAACCGGCCGTTCTTAACAGAAGGAGTGTGGCATGATGAGAGGTGATGATTCGTCGCCCAACCAACAATCTTATCCACTTCTGTAGCACACAAAACAATAATAATAATAATAATAATAATAATAATAATAATAATAATAATAATAATAATAATAATTTTTTACAAGAATAATGAAGAACGGCCCAATTGGAATTTCATGTCCTACAATTTTAGATAAAAGTTACGCCAGCCGTTCTCTTTTTTATTTCCTTAAATCTTCAGATATTTTGCAGCCAGCAAATAAAGTTGCCCTTCCATGCATCTTTAGACATGCATAATCAGTTCATGATATTATATGTGTACATTTGTACATGGGTGTTACAAATTAAGAATTCTTGCCTCGTCTATTCAATTTCAAACCACTGGAATCTACAAGCTCCAGATCCTTGCACATCAAATCGTGCTCATTGAGAACCTGAAACGAATGAATATGTTTCAAAATCAACTCAGAAACAAATTTTCTCGAACAAAATTCTGATACATTTACCCTGTGCATTGCGCTTATATTTCTTCCAGAAATCATCTTTTTCTCATCTTCTAGAATCTGTGAACCCAATTTCTTCACGACATCTTTTTCCTGCAATCATAAAACTACAGTCATCTCTTGTTTTATATCCATAATATCTGCGTGTATTCTTTTTATGTTTCTCTGCTTGTGCATTCACATGTGATAGATATAGTTCGATAACAACAAATATTACCTAGAAGATCACAGTATATTGACAATTAGTCCAGGATTCTTTATCCACATAACCTTAACAGCAAACGAACATATAATTTTTTTAAAATATAAGATCGGTAAATCAACAACTACCTTTGGGGGTACTATACTTATAATGTTGGGAAATGGCTTGCGCTTTTCTTTCTCTTCAGCTCGTCTGCGCCAAGTATCCTTTACTTCCTTAGTTATTCCTTTCAACTGAATAAAAAAGTAAAAAAAGTAAACATTCTAATATCAAATCGATAATGTAATAAGACATGGTTAACTTGTGTGGACTTATGATAGAAAAAAAAAAAAATACATACATGGCACTATGGCAGCATAATTAACCTCACCAGAATGTCAATTGAAGTTTTAACATCTGCCATTAGAGCAGCTTAATAATTAAAGATAAGGGTAATTTCAACTCTGAGGTTTAACCTAAAATCAAAAGATCAGTCACCTCTCAAATTACAGTAGCCCCTTAAATTGTTACAAACAACATAACTGTACCACCCAGCAACTCTGGGAATAGAAACAAATGTCAAGTGGATATTTGGATCTCTGAAATTATAGTAGATAGCTCATAGCTAGGATCTTTTGTAATTAGGCTAAACTTAAGGGTAGTTATTGAAATTAACCTAATGTAAACAAAAATTAAAACGAGAGCAAGAAAACAACAAAGAAACAAATATTATACAATTTTAACAACGCAAACAAAAAAGAAATCAAAACACAGCACACACACACAAGTTCTACTAGTGATGTTAGTGATGTGAGATTTAAGCTAAGCAATTGATCATTCATTCAGCTATATATGGAGTCACTATATACTATGTTCTAAAATTCAAATGAAGACATTTACAAGTGTTCTTAAACTTACAATAGACTCAAGTTCTTCTGATCCAGGGACCGATTTGTTTTGCCCGTAAATCAGAACCTTACGTTCTGGTAATTGGTCAAACATCTCTTTCACCTTGCCAAAAAACTCCTTACGTGCTTCCCAGAAGCTCCAGTAAGATCTCTTTGGCAACCAGCTAAAATGATCCGGAAAATAGACAACTATTGATGGGTGAGACTCCAGAACCTGCCAATATGGTGGTGAAAGTCTAAGAGAGAAACTGATATTTGAAACTTTCAAGCAGTATTAGTCATTGATATAAAACATGTACCTCACAGAGCACATCCATAGCAAGATAACAATCATGAGTTTGAGCATCTGTATCATGTTCGATGTGTTTCGCTGCAAACAAAAAAAAGAATCCAAAGCTTTGGTCTGAACCAGGAACTCGTGCTTGAGGAAAAATATTTCCTCATACATGAGGCAAAAAGTGTTACTGAATAAATAAAATAGGTACCAGCAAGCCAATGGACTGGTAGTTCTGAGCTTTTCCCATCACTTTCACCACTTGCATAGAAAATAACAGCTGCTTTGTCGCCTTTAACTTCACGCAACTCCCCTCGCTGGCCTTTAGACAGTGTCCTGAGGATAAAAGTTTGTAAAGATTAGTTTCAATCACAACCCAAATGAAACCAACTATAATAATCATATAGTAATAAGAAATAAGGTTTTAGCATATCAACTAATCACTTGTAACAGATTTCTCAATTTGTTTTAGAAAAGAAAGGGGTAGTGTTTTTCGTTATTGCTCTATGAAAAAGGAGTACTTAAGTCAAAAAATAATTTGGTTGTCTCAATAGTGGAGATTAAGAATCATTAGAAGGGGAACTAAACACACAAATTCTACTTTAACTACTTCACCAAGAAGGAAATTAGAAACTCCAGAGTAGCTCTTGAGAAGGGGGAAAAAGTAGTATTCCAACAATCTATTGATTTACGCTACGCTAAATCGCCAAGGAGTGAATCAGGGTTCAAATTCCATAGGTTCATGTAAAGATGTTGGTGATGCGTTACCAATAAAAGCCTCAAATAAAATATTCTTGATTTGATGGCCTAGCAATTAATAATGAATACAGTAAATACATTTGCAATATTCTATCATGGATATATCAGTTTATGAATTCAGTACACAAAGATAAAAAAGATTTTAATAGTCAGCTCGAACACGTATTTCCCAGGAAAGATAAATTACAATGTCAATATGTCATTTGTGCAAATAGCATATCAATTTCATTGGAATCACATAATACACATTTCCATTTTTCATTCTCACGAAGAATTTGTGAACGGACATGACGAGTGATGCAACTAAATTAAATTTACCTTCTCTTATTCATCTTAATGGAAGTGTTGTCGGGTCCAATGTACTTTATTCTATCACCTGACAACAGAAANACATACGGAGGCAGATTAAGAGATGCAAATACCTTCTGCCAACTTAGAAACCGGTTTTACAGGATTTTTCTGGCATAAAAAAACAACACGAAGGGTTACAGAACAATAGAAGACATTCAGGCACACATTACAAATTTAACCAAATTGAAACGGCTACCCAACAACATGCGTGATTCTTGAAATTTTTTTCACCTGTTTTCCCCTTTTTAAAAAATCATGAGCCAATTTATGATAAATTGTTCGTGGGGAGCAAATTAAGTACCTTCTCGTTGGCGTCGTCCTCATCTTCACATTCATCGTCTTCACTGTCCTCATCGCTGTCCTCATCGTCATGTGATCCACAACAACCCCACCAGTCTTCATCTTTATTTTCCTCAGATTTGTCGTCAATGAAACCCTAAAACGTTCACCACTTTTCAGCTTACCTAATCTTCAGAAAACTCAAAACGGCTAAATTTCAATTTGTTACCGCCGGTGTCTAATTTCAAATTTGATTAAAACCGACCCAACAGATCCAAATATAAATTTCGGTTCAATTTTGTATATGGTGCTCATTTTTTACTTTTTAAATAATCGAAATAACCAAACGAATATTAGTACATATATTCATTCATATATATGTTGAAGACCCATTACAGAAAGGACGGAACTGAATCGAAGAAAATAAAAAACCAAACTTGTAAAAATTGCAAACCGAACAGACCAAAGTTAGGAAAAAAACCAACTTCGAAACCGAACTGATTTTTTCGATTATCCGCACCGCAACATACACATAAAAAGTCACAATTGTAAAATCACATACATTCACTGACAGTGGAGTATGAATTGCATAATCACAATAATTGAAGTTTAAACATTCACAAATTACAATTCGAGAAAATTGTTTATTGATATTTGTAAATTAGGTTACCTGGTGCGTAGTCCGTGCGATGCACGGGTAAGCATGTCTAAAGACATTTAAATTTAATATATATATATATATATAAATAAAATTTAATCTATAGAATGTGTAAAAAAATTATCCAAAAAATATGTTTAAAAGTATATAAAATATTAATAATTACAAATTAATCCAACAGAGGATTTCAAATGCGAAATCACGAAAATTTAAACAAAATAAGTCAAAATTTTGAAAATGAGTGATATATAAAATATATGTCAAATTGAACAAAATATCGGAAGTTTATTTCTAAAACACGTGTGCATTGTTATTTTTAAATTTTGAAATGCATACAATTTGATATACACCATAGGTTGAAGTTGATATTTGAAAGTTTAAGTAAACAAAATCCTTAATTTAAGGAATGATTTGAAAATCCGTCTAAAATGTGTGCATTGTTATTTTTAAAGTTTGAAATGCATACAATTTGATATACACCATAGGTTGAAGTTGATATTTGAAAGTTTAAGTAAACAAAATCCTTAATTTAATGAATGATTTGAAAATTCGTCTAAAATGATGGGAAAAATCGGTCCAATTTTCTTTTTAAATATTTATATATAAAAAACGTGTGCATTGGTGTTTTTGAATTTTGAACTGCATACAATTTGATATACACCGTATTTTTGAAATTGATACTTTGAAATTTTAAATGGAACAAAATCCTTAATTTAAGAAATGGTTGGCAAGTTCATCCAAAAATGATTGGAAAAAATGGGTCTAAATTTTTTAAAAAATATTCATAGCCACAATTTTTGAATTTGAATTGAAAAATACTCAATTTTGATGGGAGTATTTAATGCTGGCCTATTTTGTTGTTAAAAGAAAATACAAAATTAAAAAAAAAAATCCGCATAAGCATGCATTTAATTTTGCCCAAAATTTATGCTTGCTATTTTGGTAAATAGTTACATTTATTGTAAAATCCATGTGAATATTGATTTTAAAATTTGTGTACTATTGAAAAGATCATACTGCCAACATAAATAAGTTTTTATCTCGAATAATTGAGTTTTGAAATCGAGTCTTAACTTATCTTAAGATTCTAACCGATTTTATGATGTTAATTAAAATTTTAAGTAGTTTAAAAAAATCTTGCCTACAATATATTATTCAATTCTGATAAGTATAAGTTTTGAATTTTAGAATCCACGTGAGTATTAATTTTAAGATCCGTGTACCATTCAAATTACTAACTGTGTTCTTTTCCTGTGAACTTCATATTGATTTATCGATTTTATGTTATTTCCTTACAAAGTTGATTGTCTCATTTTGTTTTACCATATTTTCGTGGAGATTTAACAAAGTCGGTTGCAGTTATAAAATGATCTGAATATCAACATACAATTTATTATGGAGTTTTTAAAATCGTATACTATTAACAAATAATAAATATCATTAATTTTTTTTAAATGCACGGCCATTGAGACTGAGATTTTGAAAATTATTTTAACTTTTGAAACCGAGTTAAAAAAACACTAGATTGGTAAACAAAGAATTGATAAACATTATCAAGTTTATTATCACACGTAAAATTATCATAATTTGTGGGAAATGATATTTAAAGAATATTTTTAGCGTTCATTATATTTTTTTGAAAGACACAAATATAAATACTGAGGTTCTAAAACTTTTGTTACCTTGTGAATTGAGATTTCATAAATGTAGAGACCAAGATTTTAATGTTGTTCTTTGTTTCTAAAAAAAAATATAACAATAAAAACATGCACACTCAATAGATTTTAGCCAGAATTTTTAAATAATAAAATGAACTAAAGTCATAATACCTTTAATGATGACATAATTTTTTTTAACCATTAGATCATCCGATTTAATGGCTGAGATCATTGAGCATTATTCTCCCTTGAACCCAACCATATATAATAAGCAGATCATATAATTTTCCAAAAATACTCATATCAAGAAATTGTTAGCAAGCTTACATATGGAGGAGGCAATCCACTGCTATCCATCACCAAAAGCGGAACTTTCAAGTGTTTTGCAAGTGTTCGTACTATCGTTTCTCGATATACTTCGGTACCTTCAAAATCCAATATTTTTTTTCTTCTCAATAATAAGAACTTGTAGTAATTCTTTATTCTTTCATTCAACAACTACTCAATATTTCACTATTAACTCTAATATTTCAGATCCAAAAAAAGAAAAAATAAAAATAAAATAAAATAAAACCAACCTGGAGTACTTCGAAGCAAAATTCTGCCACTCGAAGACTCTAAATCTTTACCAAAGTCTTTGCTGCACTTCTTCTCATTCAAACGTGCGGTCATATACTCTATAAGAAGGTTTTTATCGTGCTCGCTGATAAAAAGAAACATGTAAAAGAAACAATATATTTAAAATAAGATCAAGAAAAAACCAACAAATATTAAGTTCAAACATGCGTATTCCCCAACTCAACATGATAACTACAACAATAAATTAAAAAAACCCTAGCTAGATTGACATGAACAAATTAAAAATTACTTCATCCATGCATAATTGCATAATGCATCAACTCAACAACTAGATATGCAAATTATAACCCGAGCTAAAAACTTGACATGAAGAAAAAAGCATGGTTTAGTTTTATTACTTGATGTAATAAGGAAAATTATCCCATGTTTCCTTTGTCGTCTCGTTTATTCCCTCGAAAGACACAATCCTCGACACAAACTCGTCTCGATAACCCGCGGCCCGAGTCAGGAGCGGAGACTCGTAAGGCTTATTTAAGCCGCCTTCGATTCCATTCATCGCATCTTGAACTTGCTTCAACGCGTCCTTGAGTTTTTCGATCTCGTGATCTTTGCTGCTTTCCGAACTCGAAAAGCTCGACTTCACCACGAATCTACTAACACGGTTCGATGATGATGATGATAAAAACAACCTCGATCGAGCCGGATTTTGGCGGCTCCACGGCTTTCGAGGCGGTGCAATATATATAATGCTCGTGGGGCCCGCCACCGCGGAATAGTTTCTCATGCGGAGGCCCGAATTATTATAATCCCTCGGGTACGAAAATGGGCCGCCGGTGGAAGAACAGGACCACATGATTAATTATTTAATTCCTTTTTTCATTTATATATATATGAAAGATACACGCTAAAACGATGGTCTAATGTATATATATGCGGATTGATTACACAAAACAATATAAAATCGCGTTAAGTTTCAACATAAATTATCATCACTGATCAAAAGTAGACTCAATTTTCCTCATTGGACCCCATAATATGAACCAAAAGAATATAAGCAACAGAAAATGAATTCATGTTCACTTCAATTAATCCCCATGTTCATCTATATATACATTATTACGAGATAAATGGATGAAAATTTGGAACTTTAGCTCGACCTATATTATATAGCAACTCAGAACAGGAAAAAATTACCAACTCGTCGGTGGTTATCAACTGCCGGCGGTTGTCCGGCGTTGGGTACTCCGGCGGTTTTCACGATGGCTTGTACATATGCGAGAGAGTCTTCTAATAGTGATGGGTTTTATAGAGTCATGAAAATTTTGAAGTACATTAAATCTTTATTTGGCTGAGGGATTGTAAAAGCATGCCAAGAGGAGTTTCATGTCTATTGAAATTCTATTGTATGGGAAAAAGGTTTGGAAGATTCTAAAGCTATCAAAATATGCATATACTATAATTAAGTGTTGTCTAAAGCTATATACATACGTATTATATATATATAATATGTGGGTGTGTAATTTCTGAAAATATATCATAACGTATTTATTGTTGTTTTCGTTAATAATAATAATAATAATAAGTGTTGTCCAAAGCTATATTGAAACCATATTTTGGTACCTAAAACCTCAAAATAATAATAATAAAAAAAAAATATTAAAATTTCGTGACCGTCACCTGACTAATTTTCGTTATCTTGTAGAAAATTTGTGTCCATATCCCCCGTATAATGTCATAGATGGTACCGTGTGTCTATGGGGCGAATATAGTGATTCGCAATCCACTTGTTTGGTAGTTATACACTTATATTTATGTTTGAGCAATTTAAACTATAAATATATTTTAAAAGTTAATTTAAGGAAAAAATATTCCAAGTAGTATTTCAATAGTATAAATTGATTATTGTTGTATGAATTTCTCGCAATTTTCAATTATAACTTTTTTCCACCAATTAGTAAAAAAAAAGTCATCAGAATCATTCAAAATCCCAAATAATCTAATGGAATAATACTGAAATATACATTAAAAATAACAAGAAATCTAACTATTTAACTTATGTTCTGTTAAAAGGTGTTATTTTAAAGTGGAGCTTTTTCGTTTAGCAAAAAGTTTGGTCCTTAGTAGTAATAAGGGTTAAACTACTTTGACACAATTAATTGACATGACACAATGGATAAACCAAAAGTAATACATATATTTAATAGTTGATTTTTAACCTGATAGATGTGTGAATTAACATGATCATCGATTATGTCACTGTACCATGATCCTAATAATAATAACAATAGATATAGAGCTCTACATTTGGCATATAAGAAAGAAAAAACACAAAATCCCATGAACTCCAAACTCAAATTGTCAAACAAAATTTAACCAAGCCAACTAAAGGGTTTATAAATAAACCAGGAGCGAAATTTGAATCCTCAACTGGAGGCGGGCTGTGAATGCTTCGACTTTCTCCTGTTTCCTCCTTCGCCATATCGCTCGTTCCATTCCCTCAGCTTGACCAAACTGCTCGATTCATACGCAACCGAGGGCCCCACCTGCAAAATTATTCATACACAAGCATGATATATATATTATAAACCGACTGTTTATCGCGACTAATAAAAAATTAGTTGTTCAAAAAAATAATTTGTGTTGTTAAGTGTATGAAGTGCTTAAAGTTTAGGCTTTATCCTAACTTAACAAACAAACACATACATACGGGGCCTTTTTATGATTTCTATAGTTTCATATGAATTTAAATACCGTGGCCTTGGAATTAATAAAGTCGTCTAGCTTCAGTTGTCTTAATGCCGGACTTCCATCTTTCTTGTCACCCTGTCAATCGATAATAACCACAAAATGTGTTTAAGAAAAAAATATATAAGTTGCCGCATTTTTGTCCAAAAGTAATAACCATCATAAAAACACTAAGAAACAAAAGACAAATGCAGTTGCTACTGAGGGCAAAATGCTAATTTGTGTTTCTAATGTTTTACGCATGCATAGTTGTCACACATTTACGTTTGTCGGAAGATCATATATAACAATAATAAACTATATTAAACACCAATATCGATATCAAATATATGTCATCAAGCAACAAAAGACAAAAGTCGAACACTCCATAATTTCAACCGTAATATATCATCCATTAACAGAAAAATCTTAAAAGTACTAGAATAGTGATAAGAAGATCATTAGAGTGTTTACCTTGCTTTCATGTTCAAGTAGTTCTTGGACGGGTATATATGCAGCAGCCACGCACAGATTCTGGGAAAAATAAAAAGAAAAATAAAAAGACAAAGAATCGCAAATCTTAGGCATCAGTAGGAATCACAATATCTATAGCCATTTATGGAAACTCGATGAACATTTACCTTTAAGTCGCTCCCGGAATACCCTTCAGTAGCCTCTGCGAGTTTTTTAATATCAAACCCAGATTCCAGAGCCTCTTTGGCAAGAAGTATCTCCAGTATTTTCAATCTATTTTTCACATCTGGTAGGTCAACATGAATCCTACGAGCAGTCAAGGATATTCTGTCAAGCTCAACATTCATGTCGATAAACTATAAAACAATATTGCAAAAGAGAAAAAATCAACCACGTTTCAAATGTCACATATGATGATCACCGACATTCTTCAAGAGTAGGGATTGTAAGTAAACTGGGCAGGCCAGTTTTCTATTCAATAAGTAATCATATTCTGGCAAACCCCTCTTCTAACATTCGTGTTATCTACAATTTATAATATAATAAGAATCTGTGTACAATGTTATGTGAAAATGTACCTACATAAATAAGTTTATTCATAATCCTTACAAAACGTATGGTGAAATATTGTTACTTTCAGGTCTTTGATCAAGAAGAATCAGATGCAGAAGTTAAACAAAAAGATGACCGAAACTTGCGAGAAGGTAATGCCATTCAAAAAGGGGGACAAATATTTTTCTTTAAATTGCAATTTTAGAGTGTAAAAAATCACTATTTGTGGAAAAAAGCCTATGAAATGACTCAAGTTTCAATCTTTTGATGGTGAAAATAAGAATGTGAAAACAAATTAAAATGCAAAAAATGTTTGTGGAAAATTGTTTTGGTTCCACTCATTATATTTCCTTTAGGAACTTGATTATAATTAACTGATTAGTTACTTTGATTCATTCCTTTTTTCCAATGCACTAATCATTACCTCCATGTAAAGACGAATTCTTTCAACAATAGGACTAGAGGTAAGTAGAAGGAAAACTTCCTAACATCCCATTTTTAATAACACCAAATATCTGCCATTTCCTATTCTTCATAAAAAGCATAGCTAATCAAATTCATTATCCAAGGAAATCCAATCCCCTGGCTTCTTGAAAAAATCACACACACACACACAATATGTAGTATATATGAAAATACATGCACCCTTCTAGCATAATTAAACAACAAATGTATGAATATTTTGACTCGTATTAGAAAAATGTACCTTCTCGGCATGCGGCGAATGACAGCATCATCAAGGTCAAAGGGCCTATTTGAAGCACCAAGGACAACGATTCTTTGGCTGTCACTTGAAGTTAATCCATCCCAAGCTGACATAAACTCATTCCGAAGTTTTCTGGTTGCCTCATGCTCATAACGTTCACCCCGAGCACCAAGCAAAGCATCAATCTGTCCACACAAGCATCAAATACAGGTTTTATATAATCTATCAGATTGTAATCCATGCATCACGGAAGTGAGTGCAAATTTATTAATCAAATAAAAATGTTCACAAATGTGAATATATGGAGGAGTCCTTGCCAGCTCAGTGCAGTAGCAAACTACTGCACAAGTCTAGTTCAAATAATCAATCAACAAGCCGTTAAAATCCCACTACGTGGGGTCGGCTATATGGATCACATGTCACCATCGTGCTCGATCAAAGCACATATCCTCATTCAAATTTAAATATTTTAAATCATTTTTTATTGTCTCATTCCATAAATCCACATAAAAGTTCAAATAAGCAGGAGAGAGAGAGAGAGAGAGAGAGAGAGAGAAGTACACAGTGTATGGTTTGTGTTTCAAATACTCATTTCGTTCAGGAATACAATGCAAGTATGCAACAGCATTCACCTCATCCACAAAAATAATTGTAGGAGCCAACTTGACAGCCAAGGAGAATAGTGCCCTCACAAGTTGTTCTTCTTCCCCGTACCACTGCACCAAAAGCAAAAAAGAAAAAAACCGACTATGTTGGATAAGTCAACTAAAGGATAGAATTGTTCCAAGGCAATTACTTGTTTGCTTCTCCTACCTTAGATGTAAGGGATGAAGGAGTAACATTGATGAAATGGGCCCCAGCTTCGGTAGCGAGAGCCTTTGCTATAAGGGTTTTTCCAGTTCCAGGGGGACCAAAAAGCAGCATCCCTTTGCAAGGCTGAAAGAAAAATATTGTGAGCTTTACATTCAACAAGGTTTCATTTTACATTAAGAATAAGAATATTTTAAAAAAGAAGTACAAGTATCTTTAAATTTTTAGAAGTACATACACCTGTCATATTCTTTAAACTGAATGTACCAGTTTGAGGGTGGTAATTTATAATTGTTACAAAATTACAAAACACGAGAGTTTTATAAGACCTTAAGTGGGTAATAAAGACTTGCAACTTGTTTAGTAATCAGCCTACACTTCCAAAGTTGATTTTGTACTTGAACACTTGATACTAACCCGAAGCAAGTTTCCACGGGAGAAAAGCTCAGGCCGGTTCAATGGAAGAATGACAATTTCATTCAACGCCTTTTTCACTACGTCAAGGGCACCAACATCATCAAACTTGACACCAATATTATTTGGAGAAATTATAGATGGAACAAAGCTTTTCTCATACTCCCCACGGGCAAGCTCCTGCATTTTTTTTTTTTTTTTTAATGACATGATAAAAGTTTTGGAAATTTGACCTGTACGTGTTCACATAATGATAGGAGAATAGATAACCTTGGGAGACTTTGAAAACTTGTTTTCCGATTCCTTCAATCTCAAAATGGCGTGTTCAAGGCTGCACAAAATGACAATTGACACCTCAAACAGGACAATAAAAACCTCAGTTTTATAGTAAGGATCACGAAAAGACAGATAATTAACCTTGATTTAGGCATATGCAACCGTCCGTTCTCAACTGAAGGAGCATGGCATGATGAGAGGTGATGATTCGTCGCCCAACCAACAATCTTATCCACTTCTGTAGCCCACAAAACAATTATATAATAATATATTTTTTTACAAGAATAATGAAGAATGGCCCAATTGAAATTCCTTGTCCTCTAAAATTTTAGATAAAAATTACGCCAGCCGTTCTCTTTTTTATTTCTTTAAATCTTCATACATTTTGCAGCCAACAAATAAAGATTTGCCCTTCCATTATCTTTAGACATGCATGATCAGTTCATGACATTGTGTGTGTACATTTGTATAAGGGTGTTACAAATTAAGAACTCTTGCCTCGTCTACTCAATATCAAACCACTGGAATCTACAAGCTCCAGGTCCTTGCATACCAAATCGTGCTTATTGAGAACCTGAAATGAATGAATATGATTCAAAATCAACTCAGAAACAAATTGATCTCGAACAAAATTCTGATACATTTACCCTGTGCATTGCGCTTATATTTCTTCCAGAAATCATATTTTTCTCATCTTCTAGAATCTGTGAACCCAATTTCTTCACGACATCTTTTTCCTGCAAATCATAAGACTATAGTCAACTCTTGTTTTATCCATAATATCTGCGTGAATTCTTTTTTATGTTTCTCTCCTTGTGCATTCACATGTGATAGATATAGCTCGATAACAACACATATTACGTAGAAGACCACATTATATTGATAATTAGCCCAGGATTGATTATCCACATAACATTAACAGTAAAGAAACACATAATTGTCTTAAAACATGAGATCGGTAAAACAACAACTACCTTTGGGGGTGTTATACTTATAATGTTGGGAAAAGGCTTGCGCTTTTCTTTCTCTTCTTCTCGCCTGATCCAAGTGTCCTTTACTTCCTTAGGTATTATTCCCTTCAACTGAAGAACAAATTACAAAGTAAACATTCTGATATCACATCGATAATGTAATAAGACATGGCTAAGTTGTGTAGACTTATGATAGAAAATAAATAAATACATGGCACTATGGCAGCATAATTAACATCACCAGAATGTAAATTGAAGTAACATCTCTTTCGTTTAGATCTACCATTAGAGCAGCTTAAGAATGTAATATATGGGTAATTTCTACTTTGACGTTTAACCTAATTCACAAGATCAGTCACCTCTCAAATTACAGTAGCCCCTCAAATTGTTACAAACAACATACCTGTATTAACCAACAACTCTGGAAATAGAAACAATTGTCAAGTGGGTCTTCGAGTCTTTGAAATTATAGTAGAGAGCTAGGATCTTTTGTAATTAAGCTAAACTTAAGGGTAGTTATTGAAATTAACCTAGTGTAAGTAAAAATGATAAGGAGAGAGCAAGACAACAAGACAACAACAACATACCCAATATATTCCCAACAGGTTGGGGTCTGGGGGGTCAGTTGTACGCAGACCTTACCCTTGTAATTATACAAGGAGGTTGTTTCCGTAGCGACCCAAGGTGCATTGCGCCGTTTGATATATTTTTTTTTCTAGAAACTTCACTAATAGAAGAAGCACTAGAATTTAATTTAACCATTTTGATCTAGTCCATTATTAGCACTATGCCAGGAGAATTGTCAACAATGACTCTTCAGCAAGACAACAAGAAATAAAATAAATATAATACATTATTAACCAACTACAGGTAGAAACAAAAAATAAAACAAAACACAGCACACATTCTCAAGTTCTACTAGTGATGTTAGTGATGTGAGAATTGAGCTAAGCAATTGACCATTCATTCAACTGTATATGGAGTCACTATATACTATGTTCTAAGATTCATATGAAGACATTTACAGGTGTTCTTAAAACTTACAATACACTCAAGTTCTTCTGATCCAGGCACCGATTTGTTTTGCCCGTAAATCAAAACCTTACGTCTTGTTAATTGGTCAAACATCTCTTTCACCTTGCGAAAAAACTTCTCACGTGCTTTCCAGAAGCTCCAGTAAGATCTCTCTGGCAACCAGCTAAAATGATCCGGAAAATAGACAATTATTGATGGATGAGACTCCAGAACCTGCCAATATGGTGGTGAAAGTCTAAGCGAGAAACTCATATTTGAAAGTTTCAAGCAGTATTAGTCATTGATATAAAACATGTACTTCACAGAGCACATCCATAGCAAGATAACAATCATGAGTTTGAGCATCTGTATCATGTTTGATGTGCTTTGCTGCAAAAAAAAATAAAAAAAATAGTGCAAAGCTTAGGTCTGAACCAGGAACTCGTGCTTGGGGAAAAATATTTCCTCTAACATGAGGCAAACAGTGTGTTACTAAATAAATAAAATAGGTACCAGCAAGCCAATGGACTGGTGGTTCTGAGCTTTTCCCATCACTTTCACCACTTGCATAGAAAATAACAGCTACTTTGTCGTCCTTAATTTCACGCACCTCCCCTCGCTGCCCTTTAGACAGTATCCTGAGGGTAGAAGTTTGTAAAGATTAGTTTTAATTATAACCCAAAGGCCAAAACAAACCAAGTGTAACTCAATCTTACAGTGACAAGAAATAAGGTTTTCACATATCAACTAACCATTAGTAAAGAAAGGAGTCGTAGTTTTTCGTTATTGCTCTATGAAAGAGATTTAAGTCAAAAAGAATTTGGTTGTCTCAACAGTGGAGAGTAAGAATCATTAAGAAGGGGGGAACTAACCACACAAAATCTACTTTAACTACTTCAGCTAGAAGGAAAGTAGAAACTTCGTAGTTGTTCTTGAGAAGGGGAAAAAGTAGTATTCCAGCAATCTATTGATTTACCCTACGCTAAGTCGCCCTCAAGGAGACAATCAGGGTTCGAATTGCGTAGGTTCATGTAAAGATGTTTGTGAAGCATTACCAATAAAAGCCTCAAATAAATTATACTTGAGTTGATGGCCAAGCAATTAATAACTAATACAGTAAATACATATTAATAATCAGCTCAAAACACGTATTTTCCAGGGAAAGATAAATTACAATGTCATTTGTGCAAATAGCATATCGATTTCATTGGAATCACATAATACCCATTATTATTTTTTAATTCTCACGAAGAATTTGTGCACAAAGAAACGTTTTCATACTTCAACAGCTAAAATATTAAATTTTAAGTCGAAAATTCTGCTGCACAGACATTCCGAAGGATTAGGATGTGGCATTTAGGCACTCACAACAACATAGAGCAAATGAATAGGTTATGTAGCTGCAACAAAATTAAATTCACCTTCTCTTATTCATCTTAATGGAAGTGTCGTTGGGTCCAACATACTTTATTCTATCACCTGACAACATAAAGTTTCTCATAAAAAATTAAAAAGAGAGAGACTAATAAACAAAATGATATGGAGGCAGATTAGGAGATGCAAATACCTTCTTCCAACTTAGAAACAGGTTTTGCAGGATTTTTCTGGCATAGAAAACAACACAAAGGGTTACAGAACAGTAGAACACATTCAAGCACACATTACAAATTTAACGAAATTGATACAGCTACCCAACAACATGCGTGATCCTTGAAATTTTATTCACCTTTTTCCCCCTTTCTAAAAAACCATTAGCCAATTTATGATAAATTGTTCGTGGGGGGCGAATTAAGTACCTTCTCGTTGGCTTCGTCCTCATCTTCACTTTCATCGTCTTCACTGTCCTCCTCGTCATCTGATTCATAACAACCCCACGAGTCTTCATCTTTATTTTCCTCAGATTTGTCGTCAACGAAACCCTAAAAAGTTCACCATTGTTCAGCTTAGCTAATCTTCAGAAAACTCAACCGGCAATCAAAATGCTAAAATTCGATGTTACCGCCTTTACCGGTGTCGAATTTCAAAATTTTGGTTAAAACCGAACAAGCAGATCGAAATATAAATTTCAGTTGAATTTGGTATATGCAGCTCCTTTTTAATTTTTTAAATAATCGATGCAACTATTAAAAAAATATTATTTTATATATTTACATATATGTATTATTTTTAGCAAAAGTAATATTAAATTTTAAATAAAAGAGGTTACAAAATTAAATATATTTGTTTATAATTTATATATTATAATTTATTTCGATTAACCGACAGAATAAACTTTCGATTTGGTTTTAGTTTAATCAGTTCGGTGTAAATGCAGTCATCATCAAAAATTTTTAATCGTTAAAGTGACACATACATAATAGATTCATTCATATATGTGTTGATCAAATCAAAGTAAAAGACACACTAAAGAAAGGATGGAATCGAACCGAAGAAAATTGAAAACCGAACTTATAAAAATTGCAAACCGAACACACCACAGATAGGGAAAAACCTAAATCGAAACTAAATCAGTTTTTTCGGTTATTCGCAACATATAAATAAAATTCCACAATTGTAAAACCACATAAATTCAGTGCGAATGGAGTATGAAGTGCATTGCATAATCACAAGAATTGAAGTTAAACATTCACACATTACAATTCGAGAAAATTGTGTATTGATATTTGTAAATTAGGGTAATTAATAATCAGGATATGTTAAGGTCTAGAGTTTGATCTTCTATCAGCTTTGTAAATTTTATTTTGAAAAAGCGCATAGCAACTTTACCTATTAAACTTTTGGATGACAATTTTGCGGTTTGATTCAGTCGAAACTAATGCCTTTGAACATAAAACCAGACCGAACCGCACTTTTTGCAGTTTATTAAAAATAAAAATGCACCAAAATACGAACGATTCCAAAAACCGAGCCGAACAGCTCGATTTTTTTAGTTCCATGCGGCTTTGCTCTCCCCTAGAATGGAATTAAAATACTTGACTATTATTTAATGTATTTTTTTTTCTTCATAAGTCTAGTTTACAACTTAAAGCAAAATTTGTAGTATTTAGTTGATAACCCACAATCCAACAATACAAAAATATGTATAGGTCATAGAGACAACTCAGAGTTAAAATAGTTATAATTTATTCCTTACAACCAACAAGAATATAATTACTAGCGGATACATTTAATAAAATTTATTTTTATTTCCCTCCAAAAGGAGTTACATTTTTTTTTTTAATTAATTACTCACTAATCTGCTAAAACCGATACACATTAACTAGTGCAGAGCCCGTGCGATGCACGTGGCGCACAATTTTAAAGCTATTTATCCTAGTTTATAATTATATATATGAATAAAGAAAAATGTACGGGATATATATAGCACGTGACCCGTGCGAGGCACGGGATATATTTATTTAGGAATATTATATTATAAGATGCAATATTAAATAAAAATTTTATAATACGTAGGAAAATTGTACAATAAGATAGTATTGGATGAAAGACCTATTAACTTGTTTGATTAAGCTAAATCCTTGATTCGTTATTTTGAATGAAATACTGATTGGGGATATTTTTTTCTTAGGAGGTTGAAAGTGAGGAAGACGATGACTCAATATTTTGAGATTTATAATTTATAATTGGTAGAGTATAATCAATATCTGTTTAGATTTTTAAGAAAAATTCTTGATATACGGAAATCACGTAGATCAGATTTTCCATACAATTAGATAAGATTTTTTGTACAAAGATAAGAAGGAATTTTAAATCTACACAAACTATAAATATTAGATGTATTGATTTATGTAAATCAATATCTATATAGATAACCAAACCCTTCAATTTAGGTTTGACATCTGATTTATTTTGTGTAAAATCAAGATTTTATCTTCCGATCAAATATGTCTTTATTTGTTTTACGTACATTTATTTTTTACCGATTTTATGGGAAAAAACAATTAAATAAAAATTAATTGATAGAAATAGAATGCATTAGTTAGTTTTGACTTTTTTTTCTACTAATTCTAATAAATGAGATGCCTCTTTATATAAGTATAGATTAAATGTTCGAAAAATTGGTATTCAATGTATGTTGTAATGTATGAATAAGTAATATGTATTGTGATAGCTAATAATTGAAATAAACTAAAAAATATATAAAAATAAGTAATATTCAAATATAATATTAAAAATTTCGAACCAAGTTCTACTCGATGAAATGAAAAACAGCATCTACACAATGCGGCTGTTAAAAATAAAAAAATAAAACTAAAACTATAACCTAAATTATTTTAAAATATGATAAGAATTCAGTTAATCTTGTTTAGAATTTTTATTTGTATAATAATCATTATCTTTATTGTTGTAAAATAGATATCTGTTAGGAGTGCTATTCAAAATCATACGAGATCAAATTGTTAGGTCCGAGTTTGAAGGCCAACATAGCAATTAAAGAGTCAGGTGAATCAAATACTTCTTTAGAATTTTTATTTGTAAAATAATATTTATCTTTATATTTGTAAAATAAATATCTTTTAGGATAGCTATTCAAAATCATACGGGATCAAATTGTTAGGTCCGAGTTTGAAGGCCAACAGATTAATATTGTCCGAAAATCTATATTTAGTAGGCATTAAATGTATTTGGCGGGAAATAACTGCTAAAATTGTTAAATGATTAATCTTTTTATATAATGATAGATATATATACTAATTTTTTTCTAAATTTGGTAGCAAAATATTCAAATGTGTAACGACTAATGTTGGAACTTAAAGGTGATTGGCAAATTCAGAATTGTAACCGCTATATTTGGTTGCATTGTTGAAAGAAAAATATGATTGACACATATTTTTTTCTTTCTAAAATTCAGAAACACCAATAACTTTTTTTATTTATGTTAATTTTCTTAATATATATCACAAATATATAAATTATTTTATTCATGTTACTAATATAAACATTGCATGGTTAAAATAAAATTTAAATCTCAATTAATTTTGAATGATAAAAATAACTTAAGAAAAAATAATATAAACAGAATTGTGTTTTATATCTGTGCAAATACATGTGATTAAATACTAGTCCTAATTGAAGCACCAAAAGACAATTAAAATTATTAGCAGATTATATAATTCTAAAAATTACTCATTATCCATAAATTGTTAGCAAGCTTACATACGGAGGAGGCAATCCAGCGCTATCCATCACCAAAAGCGGAACTTTCAAGTGTTTTGCAAGTGTTCTTACTAACGTTTCTCGATATACTTCGGTACCTTCAAAATCCAATTACCCAATTCATTATTAACTCTAATATTTCATAACCAAAAAATAAAAAATTAGAATAAAATAAAACAAACCAACCTGGAGTACTCTGAAGCAAAATTCTCCCACTCGCAGACTCTAAATCTTTACCAAAGTCTTTGTTGCACTTCTTCTCATTCAAACGCGCAGTCATATACTCTATAAGAAGGTTTTTATCGTGCTCGCTGATAAAGAAAACACATGTGAATAAAATATATATTTAAAATAAAATCAAGAAAAACTAAATGCATATTTAAATTAAGAAAAGGTGTATTCGTTTGAGAATTCGAGTGACATTTTCAGACTTTTTAAGATTCGAGATTTTTAAATTTTCAAATTTTAGAGGAATCCTATGAAATCTGAAATCTGAACAAATCTTAAAATGTCTTAACAAATCATACTCTCAAATAAGTTAAAAAGGTTAGTTACCAAAATTCAAACATGCATATTTGCACCAACTCAACAACTATATATACAAATTAGAACCGTAGCTAAAAAATTGACATGAACAAAAAAAAAAAGCAAGATATTGTTATTATTACTTGATGTAATAAGGAAACTTATCCCATGTCTCCTTTGTCGTCTCGGTTGTTCGATGAATTCCATCGAACGACACAATCCTCGACACGAATTCGTCTCGATAACCCGCGGCCCGAGTCAGAAGCGGAGACACGTAAGGCTTTGGGCATTCGATTCCCTTCATCACATCTTGAACTTGCTTCAACGCCTTCTTGAGTTTTTCAATCTCCTCATCTTTGCTGCTTTCCGAACTTGAAAAAAACCTCGATTGCACCAAGAAGAATCTACGGCTCGTGTTATCCGATGATAGCTTTCGCGGTCCAATGCTCGTGGGGCCCACCACGGAATAGTTCCTCGTGCTAGTGTGCAAACAGGGGCCCGAATTGTAGTCCATGGGGCCTGATAGGTATCGGGTGGAACGGGACCACATGATCCCATGTTTGGCTTTTAGATGTTTAGCTGATCCCCTTAGCATGACTGAAAGCACAAAAAAAAAATCTTTCATACATATATATATTGTTTCTAACAATAAGTGGTGTTCAAAACTATAATTTTAAACCATACTTGATGCGTAAAATCCGCAAACCTAACTATTTTTGTTGTTTTGTACAACTTTTGTACGCTCTGCGAAAGCAAAGCTTAAAAAAAATAAAAAAAATAAACACACCAACTTACAAAAAACTTCGCTTTAAGTATATACTCAAGTATTGCAAAAACCATATACCGAAAAAAAGTGTTCAAAAAGATACAAAATGGAAATGGAATTCACTATTGTATATATATGCTTGAGGAACTAACCTTTGCCCTTTATACACACACCTTGATTTTATTTGGCCTGCCTCGTGTTTTTGTACGCCCGATCAAGTGTGTTGTTTACGTGAATGTGTTGTGAGGAAATTTATTGAGTCATCCCAAATAAAATGTTTTGATTACTTCTTTCGCAAGCAAGCAACAAGTAACAAAAGGATCAATCAATAGGAAGATTTAGGCAAATAGCGAAAATGAAAAATTAATTAACATTATTATTATGATTTCGGCAAATAGCGATAATAACGTTATTATCCCTCTCTTTTCTTTTTTATATACTATAGATGCATGTTTACTCTTTTTTCTTAAACCATGATAAATTGTTTTGATGTAACTACCAAAAAAGAGAAATTAATTGATATTAATTGAGAAATTAACTCTTTTCTTCTCTTTTCAATGTTGACCAAATTGCTAAATTTGGTTTTCTATGACTATTAGTCTACGAGATTCTTATAAATAATATTAATAAAACCGATATTTCTCCACACTTCGTCTTCGGATTGTATTTCTCGAGAATGCGGGTTCAAATTTAGTGAGATTCTTACAAGTAATATTAATAGAACCCGATTTTCTCTACCCTTGGACCTCGGATTGTATTTCTTCATGAGATTGATTAAAATGCACAAGAAGTGGATAAATCCTAAATACTCATAAAACAAATGTTTAGATGAATTATTTAACTATGAATAATGACGAGCATATAAAAATAATATAAGTAATCGAATTAGAAATGAAAATAAAGAGATTAGATCATTAGAACATCGGGGTCACTGAGACAAATGATCAAATACATGGTGATCAATTTAAGCAACTAATTGGAAGGGACGACACTCGACAGAAATTCTATAGAGCCATTGGATGGCTCTTTTATGGAGTCATCCATAATTTTATGTACTGACACATATCCATTGTGTATATATTACAGGACACGGGTCAATACATTATTTGTGAATAATTATGTGCACTCGAACTAATGTATATAGAACTTCTGAAATTGTGATTCAATCTACAACTCACTCTTTTATTATTATATATATAAAAAATGAACAAAATCCGGATAAATAAACATGATCATAGTCCTAATAATCCTAATAATAGTAATAATAGATACTGAGCTCTACATTTGCCAAATATGAAATAAAAATCACAAAATCCCATGAACTCCAAACTCAAATTGTCAAGCAAAATTTAATCAGGCCAACTAAGAGCTATAAATAAACCAGGAACGAAATTTGAATCCTCAATTGGAGGAGGGCTGTGAATGCTTCGATTTTTTCCTGCTTCCTCCTTCGCCATATCGCTCGTTCCATTCCCTCAGCTCTACCAAACTGCTTGATTCATGCGCAACCGAGGCCCCAACCTGCAAAATTATTCATACACAAGTATGATACATAAACTGACTGTTTATCCCGACTAATCAAAAATTAGTTGTTCAAAAAAATAATTTGTGTTGTTAAGTGTATGAATGTATACAAATCTACGCATGCAGAGACTTTGTTACGATTTCTATAGTTTCAAATGAATTTACATACCGCGGCCTTGGAATTAATAAAGTCATCTAGCTTCAGTTGTCTTAATGCCGGAGTTCCATCTTTCTTGTCACCCTGTCAATCGATAATAACCACAAAATGTATTTAAGGGAAAAATATATAACAATAATAAACTATATTAAACACCACTATCTATATCAATATATGTCACCAAGCAACAGAAGACAAAAGTCGAACACTCCATAATTTCAACGGTAATATATCATCCCTTAACAGAAAAATCTTAAAAGTACTAGAATGGTCATATATATAGGCGGAGGTACATTGGAGTGTACCTGGGCTGTAGCCCGGGTGAAAGTTGAAATGTCTTTAGTATTTTTATTTAAAAAATGAAGCCAATTTATATAATAACCTACTTCACCCCAGGTAATATTTAAGATTTCTTGAGTAATTTTATGTAAAAAGTAAGTCAATTTCTATACGTGGCCCATTTCTTGTTTCACAGCCGCGCCCAAGCAATTAAAAATTAAAGCAAGACCAATAAGAAATAAGTAACCCAACATCATTTCTGAAGTACCTCTAATCAACATTTGAAATTATTCAATTGATGAGTGCAATAACTAAAAAGTTAAATGTTGTTTGAATACCCTTTTTTTTCCTTTGGAAATACTTCATGAGAAATCTATTCCTTAGAAATATATTGTGAAAAGAATATTCACTTTTTATTAGTTTTTGTATACGTATTCTTTTGTTCGTATTTTATACATATCTTATGAATTAGATTTAATAATTTTTTGATAATCTACAAATAGACATTCATGTTGAATGTAAAAAATAAATTTTTTAATGCTATTTATTACCTATCATTACCAAATACACACTACAAGAAAATAATGAAATTTTTACATAAAATTTCAACAAAAATATATTCCAATAGAATTTCAAAGGTAATTCCAATAAACGTTACATTGCTATTATTTCCGTTGTAATTTTTTAGTTGGTTGGAATAAACTTTTCTTTGGAATTTCCGTTGAAATTGTTTCAACAAAAACTATATCGTTGGAATATCTATTGAATATGTTACCGTAGAATTTTCTATTGAAATATGACATTTTTTTAGTGACAGCCTATTTTTACATAAAAAAAAATGTTATTTTAGGGCTAATTAATAAATATTATTTCACGATATACAAATCATTATTTATCTACAGAAATTACATTTTTAGAATTTAGTTATTAATTTATCTTTTTCACATATAGTGCATGGTTATCTTTTTGTGTGTTTTATTTTTATTGGGAGATTCTACAATCCTATTACGGAACTATTCCGTCGGGATTGGTAACCGTTAGATCAACTATCCACGACGGTTACATGATGATCTAACGGTTACAAATCCCGACGGAATGGTTCCATAGTGGGATTGTAGCATTTCTCATTTTTATTAATAGTAAGTTTAAAGCTAAAGGTTTGATAAGTTGAAATACTAAATCATGCTAGTAAAAAATAATTCAAAATAATATTTTTTAATCTAAATAATTTTAGCCCGGGTAGATTTCAAATCCTGGCTCCGCCCTTGGTCATATAAGATCATTATAGTGTTTACCTTGCTTTCTTGTTCAAGCAGTTCTTGGACAGGCTTATATGCAGCAGCCACGCAGAGATTCTGGGAAAAATTAAAAGAAAAATAAAAAGACAAAGAATCACAAATCTTAGACATCAGTAGGAATCACAATATCTATAGCCAATAATGCAAACTCGATGCACATTTACCTTCAAGTCGCTCCCGGAATACCCTTCAGTAGCCTCTGCGAGTTTTTTAATATCAAACCCAGATTCCAGAGCCTCTTTGGCAAGAAGTATCTCCAATATTTTCAATCTATTTTTCACATCTGGTAGGTCAACATGAATCCTACGAGCAATCAAGGATATTCTGTCAGGCTCAACATTCATGTCGATAAATCGAAAAAAAAAAAAAAAAATTGCAGAACAGAAAAAATTAACTACGTTTCAAATGTCACATATGGGGATCTATTGAATAGCAATCATACCTTAGCCTAGACCGCCTATATGCAAAACCCCTGTTTAACTAAGGTATGTTCAATCAGCTATGGTGACCGATTGTTTTGATTCCACTCCTTGAATTTCCTTTAGGACTTGATTATAATTAACTGATTAGTTATTTTGATTCATTCTTTATTTCAATGCACTAATCGTTACCTCCACGTAGAGAGAAGTTCTTTCAACAATAGGACTAGAGGTAAGTAGAAGGAAAACTTCCTAACATTCCATTTTTTAACAACACCAAATATCTGCCACTTCATATTCTTCATAAAGCATAGGTAATAAAATTCACTATCCAAGGAATTCCAATCCCCTAGCTTCTTGAAAATAATCACACAATGTGTCGCATTTATGAAAATACATGCACTCTTCTTGCATAAACAATATATGTACGAATATTTTGACTCATACTAGAATTGTACCTTCTTGGCATGCGGCGAATGACAGCATCATCAAGGTCAAAGGGCCTATTTGAAGCACCAAGAACAAGTATTCTTTGGCAGTCATTTGAAGTTAATCCATCCCATGCTGACATAAACTCATTCCGCACTTTTCTGGTAGCCTCACCCTCATAAAGTTTACCACGGGCACCAAGCAAAGCATCAATCTGCCCACAAAAGCATCAAATACCGGTTTTATATAATCTATTAGATTATAATCCATGCATCACACGGCAGCGAGTGCAAATTTATTAATCAAATAAAAATGATTACAAGGGTGTAAATATACTTGTAATTTATTCTGAGTTGGATTTCTCTTCTAAGTTTAGTTGCCTAATTCAATTTAATTGAATTTTACATATGGAAGAGCCCTTGCCAGCTCAATTGCATTAGTTTGCAGCTGCACAACTCAAATTAATTAATTATAGCTTTAACCTGGAGTGAATTCACATAAAAAAAATTCAAATCAGTAGGACATCAGTTAGAGAGATAGAGAGAGAGGTGGGGAGAGAGTAAAGTTCGCACTGTATGGTTTGTGTTTCCAAAGGCTCATATGGTTCAGGAATACAATGCAACAGCACTCACCTCATCCAAAAAAATAATTGTAGGAGCCAACTTGACAGCCAAGGTGAATAGTGCCTTCGTAAGATTTTCGGATTCCCCATACCACTGCACCAAAAGCAAAAAAAGAAAAAACAAAAAATCGACTATGTTGGATGAGTCAAGTAAAGCATAGAATTGTTCCCAGGCATTTACTTGTTTGCTTCTCCTACCTTAGATCCAAGGGATGAGGGAGTAACATTGATGAAATGGGCCCCAGCTTCGGTAGCCAGAGCCTTTGCTATAAGGGTTTTTCCAGTTCCAGGGGGACCAAAAAGCAGCATCCCTTTGCAAGGCTGAAAGAAAAATATCGTGAGCTTTACATTCAGAAAGGTTTCTTTTTATATTAAGAATAAGAATAATTTAAAAAAGGAGTACAAGTATCTTGTAATTTTAAAAGTATCAGTTTTAAGGTGGTAATTATTAATTGTTAAAAAATTACAAACCACGAGCGTTTTCTAAGACCTTAAGGGTAATAAAGACGTGCAACTTGTTTAGTAATCATCCTACACTTCCAAAGTTGATATTTGTACTTGAACCGCCGATACTAACCCGAAGCAAGTTTCCACGGGAGAAAAGCTCAGGCCTCTTTAATGGAAGAATGACAGTTTCATTCAACGCCTTTTTCACTACGTCAAGGGCACCGACATCATCAAACTTGACACCAATATCATTTGGAGAAATTATAGATGGAACAAAGCTTTTCTCATACTGCCCACTGGCAAGCTCCTGCAGTATTTTTTTATAAATTTTTTTAGTAAGGGCATGGATAAAAGTTTTGGAAATTTGACCTGTATGTGTTCACATAATGATAGGAGAATAGATAACCATAGGAGACTTTGAAAACTTGGTTTCGGATTCCTTCAATCTCAAAATGGCGTGTTCAAAGCTGCACAGAATGACAATTGACACCTCAAACAAGATATTAAAAACTTCAATTTTCTAGCAATGGTCAAGAAAAACAGACAATTAACCTTGATCTAGGCATATGCAACTGGCCGTTCTTAACAGAAGGAGCATGGCATGATGAGAGGTGATGATTCGTCGCCCAAGCAACAATCTTATCCACTTCTGTAGCCCACAAAACAATAACAATAATATAATAATTTTGTACAAGGATAATGAAGAATGGCCCAATTGAAATTTTACCTCCTGTACAATTTTAGATAAAAATTACGCCAGCCATTCTCTTTTTCATTTCCTTAAATCTTCAGATATTTTGCATCCAACAAATAAAGATTTGCGCTTCCATTCCATTTACTATAAATATAAATATTGATACGTGTACCATCAAGTTTTTTAAAATTTAGAATCCGTATCACCCTCAAACTTTTTTAAAAAAATAGATTTCATGTATTTATAATTTAAGTTCAACATCTATAATTTATATAGAAAAATAAGTTCTTTGGTTGAAATTGATTTAAATTGAACTTTTACACAACATTCCATAGCATTTTAGTTGATGAAAGCTTATCAAATGAACATTTTTTTAAGAAAAAATAATAAAATTAAAACTATGTGACTACATAAAAAAAGAGTAAAAAATTAACAATAAAAAATGTAACAATCCAACTAATAAATAATCGGTTTTATAAATCGCTAAATCGTTTTACAATTAAGAGACCGAAATAGTAAATCATTATCAAAAATTTCAAAAGCTTATCTAAAAGTTTAAAATATAAGGATTGTTAGTATATTTTTCAATAAGTAAATAATATTATTAATTTAAATAAAAATAGCATAGGAAATAAATTTTAAAGTAATATATTGTAAATATTTTTTACATTTCTATACATATTTTATAGTATTTTTTTTATATATTTATTGATTTTTAATAGCTTTTAATTATTAATATATTATAAATATTTTTTGTATTTTTATACATATTTTATAGTATTTATATATATAAATATAATGATTTTTTTAAATGAGGGGGCCCGTGGCCCCATGTGGCTCCGTCATTGGTTATGTGTGTACATTTGTACATACGTCACATATTAGCAATTCTTGCCTTGTCTATTCAATTTTAAACCATTGGAGTGTACAAGCTCCAGGTCCTTGCATACCAAATCATGCTCCTTGAGAACCTGAAATGAATAATATGTTTCAAAATCAACTCAGAAACAAATTGATCTCGAACAAAATTCTGATAAATGTACCTTCTGCATTGCGCTTATATTTCTTCTAGAAATCATCTCTTTCTCATCTTCTAGAATATGTGAACCCAATTTCTTCACGAGATCTTTGTCCTGCAATCATAAGACTTTATAGTCACCTCTTTGTTTTATAATCCATACTCGTGTGTATTCTTTTTTATGTTTCTCTGTTCATAAGTGATAGATTAGCTGGATAACAACAAATATTACCTAGAAGTCCACAGTATATGATAATAAGTCCAACATTCTTTATCCACAGAACAATAACAGCAAAGAAACACATAATTTTCTTAAAATATGAGATCGGTAAAAGAACAACTACCTTTGGGGGTACTATACTTATAATGTTGGGAAATAGCTTGCGCACTTCCTCCTCTTCTTCTCGTCTATGCCAATTGTAATTTACTTCCTCATTTACATCCTCATTTACTTCCTTCAACTGAAGAAAAAAGCAAAAGGAAAACATCATGATATCACACCGACAATGTAATCAGACAAGGGCCAAGTTGTGTCGACTTATAATAGAAAAACAATAGATACATGGCAGCATAATTAACATAACCAGAATGTAAATCAAAGTTTAACATATCTGACTTTTGTTTATATCAGCCATTAAAGCAGCTTAAGAATGTAATATAAGGGTAATTACAACTCTGAGGTTTAACCTAATAACAAAGGATCAGTCACCTCTCAAATTACAGTAGTCCCTTAAATTGTTACAAACAGCATCGCTGTATTACCTTACAAATCTGTAAATAGAAACACTTGTCAAGTGGGTGTTTGGGTCTTTGGATGATAGTAGAAACACATGCCAAGTGGGTTTTGGGTCTTTGGATGATAGTAGATAGCAGGGATCTTCTGTAATTGGGCTAAACTTAAGGGTAGTTACTAAAATAAGTAAAAATGGAAAGTAGAGAGAAAAACATCAACAGATAAAATAAATATTGTACACATAATTAACAAACTACTGGTAAGAATAAAATAGAGAGCAAAACACAGCACACACACTCAAGTTCTTCTGGTGATGCTAGTGATGGAAAATAATGGCACATAGATTAGCATGTATGGGGATGTGAGATTTGAACTAGCCAATTGAAAATTCCTTCAGTTACGTAAGTCACTATGTCCTATGTTCTAAGATTCAAATGAAGAGATTTAGCGGTGTTCTTAAAACTTACAATGAGCTCAAGTTCTTCTGATCCAAGCACTGATTTGTTTTGTCCGTAAATCAAAACCTTACGTTTTGATAATTGGTCAAACATCTCTTTCACCTTGCCAAAAAACTCCTTACGGGCTCTATTGTAGCTCCAGTAAGATCTCTCTGGCAACCAGGTAAAGGAGTCCGGAAAATAGACCATTATAGATGGGTGAGACTCCAGAACCTGCCAATATCATGGTGAAAGCCTAAGCATGAAACTCATATTGAAAAGTTTCAAGTTGTATTAGTTAATACATATAAAACATGTACCTCAAAGAGCACATCCATAGCAAGGTAACAATCATGAGTTTGAGCATCTGTATCACGTTGGATGTGCTTTGCTGCAAAAGAGTGCAAAGCTAAGGTACGGAATTGGGATTTCATGCTTGGGGAAAAGAATATTTCCTCCAAGATGAGGCAAACAGTGTTGCTGATTAAATAAAACGGGTACCAGCAAGCCAATGAACTGGTGGTTCTGAGATTTTCCCATCACTTTCACCATTTTCATAGAAAATAACGGCTACGCTGTCGCCTTTAACTTCACACACCTCCCCTCGTTGGCCTTTAGACAGTGTCCTAAGGAAAAAAAAAAATTACGAAGATTAGTTTTAATCATAACCCAAATGAAACCAAGCGTAATCAATCACATAGTAACAAGAAATAAGGATTGAGCATATCTACTAACCACTTGTAACAGATTTCTCAATTTGTTTCAGATAAGAAAGGAGTAGTAGTTTTTCATTATTGATCTATGAAAAGAAAGAATGGGGTGATAAAGAAATTTGGTGTCTCAGCAGTGGAGAGAAAAACGGACAGGAGAAACTTCAGATTAGCTTTTGAGGAGGGGGAAAAAGAAAAGAGAACAAAGTTGTATTGCAGCTATCCATTGTTTTATGCTATACCGCCTTCAAGGAGACAACCAAGACCCAAATTTCCTTCGGAGTAGGTTCATGTAAAGATGTTGGTGATGGATTACCAATAAAAGCCTGATATAAATTATTCTTGAGTTGATGACCTAGCATTCAATTAACGACTAATACAGTAAATAGATTGCAATATTCTGACATGGGTTTATGAATTCAGTACACAAAGACAAGAGAATTTAATAGTCAGCTCCAAATACTTATCTTCTCAGGAAAGGTAAATTACAATGTCATTTGCATAGCATATAAAGGTCACTGGCATCACATAATCAAATACATTTTCATAAGATACAAATAAATGCTTTTATATTTTCAACGGCCAATATATCAGTTTTCAAGTTGAAAATTCTACTGCATGGACATGACAAGTGATTAATAAGAAGTGGCATTTAGGCACTCATAGAAAGGTAGAGCAAATGAACAGGTTTTGCAACTGCAACAAAACTAAAATCACCTTCTCTTATTCATCTTAATGGAAGTGTCTTTGGGTCCAGTGTACTGTATTCTATCACCTGACAACAGAAAAATTCTCATAAAAAAAAATGAAATTGCACCTTGAAACAACCTAAAAAAATCATAAATATAAACAACAATTACAATATTTTGAATTAAAAAAAAAAATATATCATTTGTAAGCAGGGTATGAGATGCAACACCTTCTTCCAACACAGGTACCGCTTCCGCAGGATTTTTCTGGCATACAGAAAAGCACAAAGGGTTACAGTCTACAGAACAATAGCATTCAAACACACATTACAATTGAACCAAATTGATACAGCTCCTCAACAACACGCGTGATTCTTGAATTTTTTTTTCACCTGTTTTCCATTTTCAAAAACCATGACCCAATTTTAGGATAAATTGTTCGTAGGGGACTTAAGTACCTTCTCTTGGTTGCTGTCCTCACCACTTCCATAATCGTCGTTTTCATCGTTGTTCGAATCGTAATCATATCCATACGAGTCTTCATCTTCCTCAGATTTGTCCTCAATAAAACCCTAAAATGTCCGTCATTGTTGAGAATAGCTGATCTCTTCTATAAGAGAACTCAAACAGCACTCAAAATGCTGACTCTAACTGAGTGGCAAAAAACTTGTACGCTTTGTGAAGAAGCATACAGATTTAAAATATCGAATTTATAATAATTTTTTTTTATGTATAATATTTTTTCTTAAAATAATGCAGTATATCCTAACACAGAAAAAAAAAGCTTACTACTAAATAATGTATTTTTTATTTTCTTATTTTATCATAAATCTATTTGAAATCTCAAAGCAAAATTTGTATTTTCTATTTAGCATAAAATTGCTCAAATACATACCCAAAAAAAAATTTAGCTACCAGTCAATTAACCCACATTCCGAAAAATATGTATGAGGGATTTTCTTTTAGATTCCAAAGATGTCACGACTCACGACAACTCGAGTTAAAATAAATAAATAGATCACATAAATATATATTGCTTGTTTTTCTTTTAAAAATATATCAAATAGTAAGGGAAAGATATGAGATGGAATAAGTAAATACAAATAGATAGAAGATAAAATATAATAATATATATGAGATGCAATAATTAAATAATTAGATAGATAAATAAAAAATAAAAATAAAATGATTAATGCTTATGTGTTATCAAAATAAGAAAAAATGTAGTAATTAATAATAATTAAAAAGACATTGGCCAACTGAATATATAATAAAATAGTTGTGATTTGTGTTATTTCTTTCTGTGTACTTGTAATACACTAACACTAGTATTAATTATAAAAAAAAAAAAACACTGTGCATCTACACAAATCTATATAAATGATAGCACTATATATAATAATAAAAATAAAATCGTATACAATTAAAATTAGCCTCATACAGTATATCATTTTATTTTATTTGCACAATAAATTCCCACACAATAAATAACAATGGATTATCAAGCTCACATATGCAGGAGGTAATTCACTGTCCATCACCAACAGTGGAACTTTCAAGTGTCTTGCAAGTGTTCTCACTAGTGTTTCCCGATATACTTCCGTACCTTCAAAATTCGAATAAAGAAAAACAAAACAATTATATCAACTTATTAATATTATTAAATCAATTTAATAACTCTAATATTATAGAACCTAAAAAAAAAAAGAAATAACCCTACCAGGAGTACTCTGAAGCAAAATTCTGGTGCCCGAAAACTTCAAATCTTTACCAAAGTCTTTGCTACACTTGTTTTCCTTTAAACGCGCGGTCATGTGCTCAATAAGGAGGTTTTTATCATGCTTACTGATAATAAAAATAGGTAAATTAAAAACATATACTATTAAATTAATAAATTCAAAATTAATTCAAGAAAAAATCAATAAGATATCAAATTATGGTTGCCAAAATCCAACTATATATATACCTGCATTTTGCACAATCCTAAAATTAGAACACTCAAATAAAACCCTAACTAATTAAGTTGAACACACTTACTTGATGTAATAAGGAAATTTGTCCCACATCTCCTTTGTAGTTTCGTTTATTCCCTCGCACGACACAATCCTCGACAAGAACTCGTCTCGATAACTCGCGGCCCGAGTCAAAAGTGGAGATTCATATGGCTTTTGGGGTTCGATCCCTTTCGCTAGTACATCTTGAACATGCTTGAGCGCGTTATTGAGCTTCTCGAGTTCCATTTTACAGTCATTTAGACTGCTTTCCGAACTTGAAAACCTCAACTGAAGCAAGAATTTAGGGCTGATGTCAGCCGATAACAACTGATGACTAGGCGTTTGGCTCCACGGCTTTTTCGGTGCAATGCTCGTGTACGAACCGGATCGAGTGGCACGGGACCACATGATCCCTTGTTTGGCTTTCATATTCTTAGCTCCCCTTAACATGGTGCAACCTGAAAGCACAAAAAGTCCAAGTCAAAATCAAAATAAACGTGAAACGCAACATTTTCATCAATGTTGAACTAAACCATATATTTCTTACAAATATATCATAGCTTAATTATTATTGGTTTAAAAATTAATAATAATAATAATAATAATAATAAGTGTCACGATGGTGATTATTTTTTCGTGAAATTGTCATTTTGGGAAAACTTTATTTACCAAATTAAAATTGTGTTCATATCTTGACAGGAAAAAAGTATATAAATGGTTAAAAATGAAGTTTTGGGTACAAAATGGAGACGGAATATTCACTAACCTTTGCCCTTTATACACACACCTTGGTTTTATTTGGCCTTGTGTTTTCCACTTTTTCGTACGGCGGCCGATCAAGTAGGTAGTTTTATGTGAATGTGTTGTGAGGAAATTTATTGAGTCATCCCAAATAAAATGTTTTGATTACTTCTTTCACAAGCTATCAACTAGTAACAGAAAGGATCAATCAATCCTATGATTTTGGAAGATTTCAGTAACTACCAAATATGAAAAATTAATTAATTTTAATAAGGTTCTATGGGGCTACAAGAACTGGGAAAAATATATAATAAATCAAGAAAATCCCCAAATCGAGCCTAAAATAATTACCAATATTCATATATAGTATGCCTAAAATCATCAAAGAGATAACTTTTTTAATTTTTTTTTCGCAAGTATGCAATTTTTGTTTCATTTATCTCTTTCCCAAATCAAGTCGAACGTTATCCTACAAAGCTAATATTATTTGTTCTCTTTTTCTAAACTTCATATTTTTTATAATGTTTTACAAGTAAATATATTTTTTATAAAACCGGGTTGAACCGGCACAAACCGGTCCGTTTACCATGGGTCTTGAATCGACCCGTAATTTTTGACCAGTCCGATTCATGTTCAATACTTTATAGTTTATACATTTCGAACCAGCAGTTTCGGTTTCGAACTAGAACCGGAACCGGAGGTTCAGCCTTTTTTTTTAAAAAAAATAATTATATTTATTTCTTTTAATGAGACGGCGGCCAAGAATCGACATCTTGAATTATTCTATTAACATATTTCGGTTCGAATTGTGAAAACTTAATCTCGACTCGTTTATATATTTAAACAAGTCAAACTCAAATAGCTAATCGAACTTGTCGATCAAACAACTAGAGTCGAACATGTTTGCAATCAACTCTGTAAGAGTTTTTTTGTCTTTTTTTTTCTACGAAATGAGGCCAAATTAATTATTGTAGGCGATTTCAACAAAAATCGAACAAAAATGGTTAACAAACTGTGCAATGAGACGAACCCAAAATAGCCCGCAAGATAAGTGTGCGTTAAGCTTAATTATCCAACTCATTTGGTACTTGTCAAATCAACCCATTAAAACTTTCAAAGGCCTTGAGTGTTGAGCAACATTATAAACTCAAATGATAAAAAATTAATAAGAGCATAATTGTCATTTGACAATAATGGATTGTCTCATTTCCTCTCATTACGATCATCACTTATCCACCATTGTTGTCAAATGAATAAATTTGACTTGAATATTGAGATATCCAACCCGAAATTAGATGGGGCTAAACAAAAAATTACATGGGGCTATATATAAAATTTAAAAAAATTTAAAGTTAGAATTTTTTTTTATGGACCTGGGGCTGGAGCCCACCCTAGCCTAAGGGTGGCTCCGCCATGAAATCAGATAGAAAAAATATAAAAAATAAAATCAAATTCAAAAAAAAAAATTAAATATCACTTACAATATCAAAACGAATACATTGACTAATTCAAAAATTATATGGAGCCATCAGATGGTTTTTGGAGTCATCCACCAATTAATGTATTGACACATGTCCATATTGTATTTATTGTAGAAGACGTATCCATACATTATTGATGAATAAGTGTAGATGAATCGATAAGTCGAATAATTTAATAGTTTCATAGCAAAGCTCACTAATTAACAGGAGAACTAAATTTTTTCTTACATCACTACTGACCGACGTCACCGATCAAATTATCAATAATTAGTGTGCCCAAAGAAGCTTACGTCATCACTGAGTGTGTCAAAGGCTGCCCGCCAGAAGGTGAAAGGTTAATATCGTCAATGCACACAACGCCAACAACGACATGCCACGCCGCTGGAATCTATATATATATAATTGCTAGCTAACCTCATTTAATAAAACATTTAATAAAAACATTTTCATTTTCCCTCCAAAAGAAGTTACATTTTTTTTTAATTAATTACTCATCAATCTCACATTTAAGAAGGTTTCTTTTAGTTAAACTTAATTAGTTAATGACTAAATTAAAAAAGTTTCTTTTAGCTAATCCCACATTTATGTTTCTTATTCTCATTTTTATATATATAAACGTGACAGTCATTATTGTTGTGCAGAAACTATATATTATTATTTTTTATTTCATTATGAATTGAATAAGCAATTAAAGTTATAAGAAACTGTTGATATCAAAACCAGTAACAGAGATTGAAGACGGAGATTAATCGTATTATCGAAGAAGTAAGTTTGCAAGAAAGTAAACTTACTACAAGTCGGTATGTATTGGAACAAATTACCGACTTCTGAAGAATTACCGACTTTCAAAAGATCCAACTTCCGAAAGGTCTTCAAAAGAACCGAAACCGACTTCAGTTCAACCGACTATCACAAAGTTTGAATATTACAACAGAAAGTAATCATTAGAAGCATCTGATTGGACCAACGAAACAAAAAGGCAATCATTGATGTTTCCTGCCGCTTCAAACGAAGCAGCTCAACATTAAATGCATCTTTATCTATTTCGAGCAAGAAGACAAAAGCCACCGTACTATAAATAGCAGAATTTATGATAGTACGGGGGATTTTTTTCGAACACATGGTACACAAACAAAAGACAATCTCGGTTTTCAGTCTACAACCGACTTCTGTACTCTTGTGAACATAATCAATAAAATCCAAATAAGCATTTATCTTTATTTTCTTGACATCAACTGTGTTTAATTTTAAGTTGTTAATTCAAGACAACAACAGTTTGGCGCTAGAAGGAGGGCGTTGAACCTCCGTTTTGATTGTTTGTCTTGTAATAACATACGAAAAAGATGTCGAATTCTGGACGAAACGAACGTAATCCAGATGCTGGAATCAATCGTCATCCCACTCACACAACTGGAAATTCTGTCGTGCCATCTACGTCAATTAATTATTCAGTTTTATTTCAAGATCCAGAGTTCTTGAAAAATTTAACTGACTTTATGGCACGCACAAGGATAGAACCAGCCGCCGTAGCTAATTCGCGAACTTATCCTACACCAGTTCCGCAAAGAAATGAAATTCCTGCTGCGTCACACGCAACTTCTCATCCACGAACACATGAATCACAACGTGATGTTGCAACTCAAAATCGTGGAGTAGTCCCTGTACGAATACATATTCCTGAAGCAGTACGATCAGAAGCAACTGCAGAAAGTCATTCTGGGCATCGACCGCGACAACCTACTCCGTCGTTACCAGAAATATTACGACATGATCAACCCTCTGATTTACGACATACTCTCGAACAAAACCATGCTCGTCGTGGGCAAAATGAGTTACGTCGTTTAATTGAAAGGAATCGCCAAAGACGCGAATCAGAAGAGTTAGAAATGTTGAGAAAAAGAATTGCTGAGCTGGAGACTTGCCAAGACGAACACGGAGAACCACCGCGACGAACTCCAATGATAGAAGAGACGTATCAAGAGGTTGGAACTCCTTTAGCTCCTCATTTGACTAGAGAGCCTATTCCAATTAAAGTGAAAGTTCCACAAATTGGCTTGTATGATGGAACTTCCGATCCTGATGCTCATCTTGGTCAGTACACATCTTGGATGGATCTTCATGGAGCAAATGAAGCACTCAGATGTCGGATGTTTTCCTTAACTTTGGGACCTCGAGCTCAAAAATGGTCATTCTCTATCTCGGTACTCGATTTCTACGTGGCAGCAATTGAGAACGGCTTTTCGCTCTCATTTTATCGGGGCCAGAGTTTCTTTAATTCCCAAAGAATCGATCGCAAATATTGTACAAAAAGATGATGAAAGTGTGAAAGATTATATTACTCGGTTCAACGAACGCATACAAAATATGGAGCAATGTCATCCTGAAACGTTATTGGTCACAGCCATAGACGGATTGAAGCCAAACTCGTTGTTCCGATGGAGTATATGTCAGAATAAACCGACTTCATTTCAAGACTTTCTAGCTCGGGCTCAACAGCATATTTTAGCTGAAGAATCAAAGTCGGTTCCTAATATCGACTTTTCCTCGTTGAAGTCGAAAGTCGGGCAAGAGTCGAAAAAGAAGAAAAGCAAATTCTTCAAACCAAATAAGTCTCGATTTGGGAATCCAAAGATCCCTGAAGTGCAGGAAGCCAGAACTAAATACCTTAATGAAGTCAAATCTAGTTATCAGACAGTATTCTCGGTAGGGGCAGCAACTATATTTGAAGAATTAAAAGGGAAAGGAATTCTTCCTCACCCACGACCTGTTAGAACTCCCGAAGAAAAACTTGACAAAACGAGATATTGTTCATACCATAAGTCGGCAGGTCATAATACTGATGAATGTCTTGGTTTACTTTCTGCCTTGTTGCGACTTATTGGACATCCTCAAGTCCAAAGATTTGCCAAAAATGTTGATTATAAACGAAAAGGAAGAATGTCGGATTTACCAGATGATGACGACGATGAAGAACGTCCAATTAATCCAAAACGGGTGAGATCAAATGAGAAAGAAATATACATGATGAATCAAAGAGAAAGAGACTCGACTGAAACGATGTGTCGAGGAGGATATTATAATCCTGACAATTCACACCATGTACCTCGGGTCAATAATAGCAGCAATGCAACGTTTGAATCACGGAGGCAACTGAAAGCGTATGCTCGAAAAGCTTTTAACTCGGGTAAAACTGTTCTGACTACCGACCTCCGAGATAAAATTAATGCTCGAAATAA